GGGGGATACAGGTGGTAAGGAGTGGTCAGATTCTGGGTTTATTTTGAAGGTAAAGCCAAGAGGATTGGCTGGCAATACTGTGAGTGGAGAGGAAGAAGAAGAGAGGGCTCAAGGAAGATACCAAGCAATTTTGCCTGAGAACTGCAAGAATGGAACTGAGACGGAGAAGATGGGACAGAGGCAAGCACCAACCATGGTTCTCAGCTGCTGTCTGCAGCTATCTCTCTATCTCTACCTCTATCTCTGTCTCTATTTCTATCTATCTCTATCTCCATCTCTGTGTCTGTCCCCATCTCTCCCCTGCCACTCTTTTTATCCATTAATCCTGCCCTCAACCTGTTTGCAGATGAAGAGACTGAGGCTGAGACCCAGCCAAGATCGCACAGCTAATGAGGGGCACAGCTCTCAGCCACTGAGCTCTGTTGTCCCATCACAACTGGAAAGAGTTTTAGACTCATCTGTTCATTCATTATTTCATTCACCAGATCCTTCCGTGCCTACAGTGCATGGGCAAGTGCGTGCTGGGCCACAGAGGGGCTTGGAAATCAAGCCAGCCCCTGGTTGGTGAGGGAGACACAGAGAGGGCACTGTGGGGCCACCCAGACTCACACACAGCAAAGAAGAAGTCAGAATGCACAGAGGTTGGGAGCGGGGACTGCGTAATGAGAAAGCCTGGATTCGAAGCCAAACTTGGCAGCTCGCAGGCTGTGTGCTCTTGTACAAGTCCCTTAACCTCTCTGTGCTTCAGTTTTCTCGTCTGTGAAATGGGAATAAGAATTACAGCCGCATAAAAGAGGGAGTAAGAAGCATGAGAGAATCCACTGAAATCCTTCTGGCTTGGGGCTTAGTCAGCGCTCCTATATTTTTGCTCTTATTATCGGGCAGAGTCAGCACTTGAACTCAGGTCCCCCAGTGTACGCTGAGGCAATCAGCTCTCTGTCCTGATGACAGCATCACTACCCTGCAGAGGACCCTCACCCAGGGGTGTGTGGGGAGTCTCAGCTCTGCACAGCTGGGCTCAGTTTCTGGCAGAGCCAGATCCCCAGAGCCTAAGAACAGTGTTTAGGGCCTGACAGCGGAGTCCCACCCCTGACAACTCGAAGAGATGCCTGCTTGCCTGCCCAGTCGCTTAGTCGCTAACTTCCCCAGGAAAACACTAATTACAGCATGGCTCCCCGCTCCCGGCCCTGGCTCTGTGATCTGTCACAGCCTCTCAGCTTCAGGGCACTGGCTGCTGTTTCTGAGCCAGAGCTGTCACCCACTTTGCTTCCCCTGGTGAAGTGAGGACAGAAAACAGAAGGATAGACAGATCAACCAACAAGAAAACTGGGGCTGGGCTCATGAACCATGCCTACCAGTCTGTTCAGTGGTCCCCAAAGTGTGGTCTCCAGACCAGCAGCATCAGCAGCACCTGGGAGCCTGTTAGAAGTGCTGCTGGTTTTCAGACCTTACCTGAGACCTGCTGAATCAGCAACTCTGGGGGTGGGGCCCTGGAATCCCTGTTTAACAACCCCTCCAAGCAAGGACGCTGATGCCTGCTCAATTGGGGAACCACAGCTTTGAGTCCTGTGCAGCTAGGGTGGAAGGGGGACATGCTGTGAAGAGCTGATTATAACATGGGGTGAGTTGAAGCCCAGGCTCAGAGAGATCGTCTTCAAATCCAGGCTCTGCCAATATCTTGTTGTGTGATCTTGGGCAGGTCATTGTTTACATTGAATACATATTTATTGACAACCTACTGTTTTCTGTTGAAAGCCCTAGGGCTTCAGAATGCTGGGAGAAAACAATGGCAATAACCAACATCTTTACCTATATTCACTCATTTAACCCTTACAAGAAACCTTTAGGTACCGTTCTATCATTACTGGAACCTGGGTGGGTGAGGCACAGATGGTCAAAGTAACCTGTTCCAGGGCTAGTCTGAGGCAGCTCTGGGGTTTGAGCCATAGAGATGCTTCCAGAGTTAGGCACTGGGCCACTGGGCTGGGCTGACCTGTGGCTAGTTAAGGAAACAGACAAAATGCAATAAAGACACATAACATTGGCAGGTTGTGATGCGTGCTCTGAGGACAAAATAATGTAGGGAAGGGGATAGAGTCCATTGGAGTGGGTTGGGGTAAGGGTGACTATTTTAACAAGGTGGTCTGGCAAGGCCTCTCTGAGGAGGTGACCTGTGAGCAGAGACTTCTCTAAGGTAGCTTTCTTGTCTGTAAAATGAGTTATTAGCGACCCCTCCCAGGTGTGGTGTGAATATGTCACAAGAACATGCCTATAAAGTATGGTAGATGCTGCACAAATAGGAACTGTTGTTATTTGAAGAACTGAGTTTGAATCCTAACTGGCTCGGCCCCTCCCTGGCTGGGTGTCCAGGGCCAAGTGACTCCATCCCTCTGAACTTCAGTTTTCTTCAGCTATAAAATGGCTGCCAGGAGCCTTGGCGATAACCCACATACAGATCAGAAAACAGAGCAGGGTTGCAGTAAGGGCACTCCCACCTCCTGTCCCCACCCCACTTTCTCTCTAGCCTGTCAGCAGCTCCTCTCTGGGGCTGTTGGTTCCCTGGTCCAGGCTGCCCAGGAGTCCTTGCTGTTTTTATTTTTATTGTTCTGGCTCCAAAGCTGAGGCCTCGCACTCCAAATGGTTCTTCTTGCCCAGAAAAATAGGTCGTTGGCAGCTCCAGCCTCCTGACAGGCCCCACACAAAGGCGGCCTGGCGGGCCTGCCTGCTGACGCCAGCCCAGGGTTACGGGAAGTGAAGCGCTGAGCCCAGGCAGGGCTGGTGCCAGGCGGAGCCGGGTCCCTGCGGGTTCCAGCATGCCCTGGCAAAGTGACCCTGCTCGAGTCGCGTTCTGCCTCTGGTCTTGTTTCCCTACCTTTGGGAACACAGTGGAGTTGCTGAGGCTTCAGGAAGACAAGGCATATGGAAGGGCCTGGCACACACAGAGGCACCAACACCCCACCTGCAGAGGCAAACTCCAGGTATGCTCCCATTATGGTTGCTTTCACACCTGTGCCACTACTGCCCCTGCGATCAGGGTAGGCCTAGTTATTCCCATTTCACAGATGAAGAGACTGAGGTTCATTAAAAAAAAAAAAACGTTTTCCCATGTCACATAAGTTAAATGGCAGCATCGTGGCTTCAAAACCCTTGCTCCTCCCCGCCTCGTACTCGTTCAAGTCTTCTTTCCAGCAGGTCCTGGGTAACAGGAAGGGATGCGATCCGGCTTCTATAACAGGACCCTTTCTGGCTGCTCAGTGGAGAAGAGGTGGAGGAAGAGGGGCGCAAAGGTGGAAAGACGGTGCCCAGGTGGGAGATGGTGGAGGCTTAGCCCAGGGCGGTAGCAGCAGGGGAGACGCTGAGAAGTGGTTTGGTTCTGGATATGAAGAGAAGGTCCAGCCGGTGGGATGTGTGGCTGACAGATTGCACACAGGGAGTGACAGAAGTCGGAGCCATGCGGGATGGAGCGCCTCTCGCTTTCCATCTCAAGTCTTTCAGGTCTTCACTCAAATATCACCTCCTCTGAGGCCTTTCCTGACCCTCTCCTCTCTCATAGGCCCTCCTGGGCCCCTTTCCTGCTTGATTTCCCCGTATAGCTTTATCTATATCTGACAGACTAAATATTTTATGTACTGGTTTGTTTGTTCGCCCCCACTAGAATGTCAGCTCCTTGGAGCAGGGGGGTTTGTTTGTTTTTTCTCACCTGCTTCACCCTCAGTGGCTAGCACAGTGCAGGGCACATAGTAGGTGTGTAATAAATACTGTTCCGTGCATGAATAAATGGTATACGCATGAAGGCAATTCCGTTTTAATCCAGGGCATCCCAGGATGCCTCCTATGGAAGTGGCTGATTCTTTTCAATTATCTGCCATAATCTCGCTGTGTGACCTCAGACAAATTGTCCTCCAACCTCCTGCCCATTGGTCTCAGTGACCTCCCAGGCCTGACAGTCAGCCAAGGGTGATTTTTCTGTGGACTGAATCAGGAGAACAAGTCCCAGGCCCCCTCCTGGGATGAAGGTGAGGATGAAAGGGCCGTGGTGTTAGGAAGCCCTGCTGGGTGCCTTTGCCAAAGGTGCTATATATAAATAGCAGGTGGTTCAATTATAATCCTTCCTTAATCCACAGTTTCCTAATCCCAGGCAGGTCTCCCTGTGTGTGTGTGTGTGTGTGTGTGTGTGTGTGTCCTGGGAAACAGTGAATGGCAGAAACTTCTGGAAGCCCAGGCTAGGAGTCTGCCTCACCTCTGACCTTCGCCAGCAGCCCCTGCCCCCGCTTCCACCCAGATGGATTCCAAAGATGGGTTGTCCCAGGACTCTCAGCTGTCACCTTCATGGTCTCAGCCAGATGTCACCTAAAGAGTTAGAGATGCCCTACTTCCCATTTCAAATACTAGAAGGACCCCAGAACAACTTCCTTACCGGTGCCCTGATTCCACGCTCCCTTCCTGCACCCCACTCTCCACTTGCAGCCAGAGCGGCCTTTTAAACACATGAATCAGACCATGGCTCTCCCCTGCCTAAACCCTGCAGTGATTTCCTAGCTGCAGAATAAATGCAGGCGCTTTACCAATGCTTGCAAGGCACCCAGCTGAACCACTCTCCCCCACCCAGCGCACATTCTTCTCCAGCCAAGCAGGCCCCAGGGCCTTTACGTGTGCTGTTCCCTCTTCCCCAAGTCCTCACCTTGCTGCTTCTTAGGATTCAGCTCCCAGCTTCTCAGGGAAGCCTTACCCTTATCTAAATGAGGGTGCCTTTCTCTCTCTGAGCTCAATCTTCTGTTGTTCATTAATTATTTCTACTTGTCTACTTATCTGTCTTCCCACTAGAATGTAAATGTTTCTTGGACAGGGACCTTGTATGGTTCCCTGCTGTATCTCCCACACCCAAATTAAAAAAAAAAAAATTCCCTTGTACTTCAAATACTGTCCAGAACCCTGTGGGCTCCCAAGGACTATTGCCAAACACTTTACTTATTTATCAAATGCTGTGTAGCACTTGGGACATGCTGGGCACTCTTTAAAGTGTTGTACAAATATTAATTCATCCAATCCTCACACCGGCTTTTTTAGGTTGATACGCATGTTGGCCTCATTTCAGATGAGGACACTGAGGCACAGACCAGATGAGCTGTGTTCCCAAGTCTACACAGTTTATAAGAGGTAGCTGGCAGGGTCTGAATCCAAGGAGTGTGGTCCATGCGCTCAGCAGCTGCACCCTGCCTGCCTTCCTGTCTTAACACAACACCAGGACTAGGCACCTGACAGGGAGGCTGGGTGTGGGGGTGTCACTTTGCAAAAGTCTTTCTTTTACTTAGCCTGGGAATCAGGAATTCAAACCTTGTTTCTACCCCAGGCCTTGCTCTGTGGCCTTAGACAAGTCCACTCCCTCTCTGGGCCTCGACTCCCTTTTGTTGCTTCATTCATATGTTCTTAACAGCCTTGTGAAGCAAAATTGGCTGTTTATTTCCAAGTCCCAAACCCTCCAATTAGCAGAGAGTCTTGAAGTCCTTTCCCTCCCATAGTCTGGAGTCACCTTTTACTGGGTGACCAGCACTCCCACTGCCCATCACTGACCTGGGAAACATGGTAGATAGATAGATAGATAGATAGATAGATAGATAGATAGATAGATAGATAGATAGATAGAGGCTCTGTCCTCTCAAAAGACTCCTTTCCTCACACCTTCCTCCTTATCTGTCATTTTCCCAGAGCCCTAGCATTCAAGTCCTCTCTCTCCTCCACCCCCTGAATCTGGCAGAGAAAGCCCACCTCCCTAGGGAGGCCTGACCCGTCCCCTCGAGCCTCCCAGGCCACAGCCCGCTTCTCTCTCCTTCTCCTCCCTGCGCCTCTTTTCCAGGCGGCACTGAAGTCCTTCCTACACACACGCTATTTTTGTATGATCACTCTCTCCTTCCTCTCCCCCTTCCCCCTACATTCACTTACTTCCTGCTTTTCTGTCACCTCGGCCCAGCTCTGAAAGAATCAGGGGCCCCTTTAGCCCAAGCCCACCCCCAAGAGAGGCCTTCAGCTTTGGGGAACAGGGTCAGAGCCACTTGGGGGAGGGAAAAGGCAGGCACCTCCGTCCCCCATCCCCCCCCCTTTTCCATTCCCCCATTCCTTCGCCGCTTCCAGCCTCTCGCTAGAGGGAAGTAGGGACTGACTGCGACCGGAGTCCGGAGGCAGGGGAGGCCGGGAGCAACTTCCTCAGTCCACCTTAAGAGGACGATGTTCGCCAGCTCGCGGCGCTGACCTTAGACAAACAAGTTTGCGCAAAGTGGAGCGGGGGGCCCGGCCCTGGGCAGCCCCGGCGGCGCTTCCACAGCCTTCTAGCCCTCGCTGGCGGCGCAGGTCCGAGCCCGGCTGGCAGTGGGAGGGGGACGGGGGAGGAGGCGTTTCGGGGCTGGTGACAGCCGCTCGGGCTTCTGAACTGGCACATTGTTGGAGGCGGAGGCTGGTCCAGTCCCGAGCCCGAGCGGGGTGCGCCAGCGGCAGGGGCTGCAGCCGTGGGGCCCAGGCGAGGGTTGGGTGCCCGGGCGGCGGAGCAGGCGAGGGGTGACGCTGGCCTCCTGGCCCGGCGCTCGACACCAGCCCTCGCTCCCTCCCTCCCCGGGGCGCGCTGCTGGAGGGCGCTCTCCGAGAGGGTGCCGGCGCAGCCAGAGACCTGCAGCCCCCCGCGAAGGCAGGAGAGCGAAGGGGAACGGGCAGGCGGGCGGGGGCCGCGGCCCGCACTGAGGCCGGGCGAGAGGCGAGTCGCCGGCGCGCTAAGAGCCCGGGCGGGGCAGGTGGGCAGCGGTGAAGGCGGCTGGCGGGGCTGCCCTTCGCCCTGGCTCGGGGTCCTTCTCTCTCCCGCGCTGTCTGTCTCGATCTGCGCGCCGCCTCCCTCCCTCCCTCTCTCTCTCTCTCTCTCTCTCTCTCTCTCTCTCCCCCCGCTCCCCTTCCTCCCTCTCTCTCTCTCTCTCTCTCTCTCTCTGTTTCTCCCCCCCCCACCCCACCCCCCCGCGTCTCTGTGCCTCTGGCTCTCTCCCTGGCTCCCCTGGGTCTGTTTCCCTCTCCTGCCGCCTCTCTCGGGCCGCCCGGGCTTTCTTTCTGGCGCGCTTGGGGTCTGTCCCCTTCTCTGTCTCTCGATCTCTCCGGGAGGGGGGAGGGTCTCCAAACATCGCGGCCGTGACGGCAGCTCCTAAGCCGCTCCAGGCGCTCGTCCCGGGGAGGGGGGAAGCCCGGCCAGTAGGAGAGAGAGGGGAGGGGGAAGAGGAGGGGGGAGCCTTAGTCATTTCCCCGCTCCAGCCCGCGCCCGCCCGAGCGCGCACTCACGGCCGCTCTCCCTCCTCGCTTCTCAGCCGCGGCCCATGGAGCCCGCCGGCCCGGCCTCCGGCCGCCTCGGGCCGCTGCTCTGCCTGCTGATTGCCGTGTCCTACTCCGCTACAGGTAAGCAACCCCCCGCGACACACACACACACACACACACACACACACACACACACACACACACACACACACACCGCTGCTGTCCCCCAAACTGCGGGCTCAGGCCCCTCAGCCTGCCACCGGGAGCCACTCGGCTCATGTCAGCAGTAATAGGGGTAGAGATGCTTGTCACCAGGGTTACAGGTGCGGAAACTGAGGCCCAGAGAGGGCCAGCGACTTGTCCAAGGTCACACAGCCAAGGAGAGAACCCAGTCTCTCCGGACTCGGACTGGGTGGCACTGTGCTGGGCACTGGGACATACATACCCAGATGAGTTGCTTCACCTGGCCTCTGCCCAATTTGGAGGGGGGAGGCAGGCTGTCAGCATCTTTCAGAGCAAGGCACCCTGGCGTCCCTGGAAGCTCTTCTCCCTGGACTGATGCTTTCCACATGTTTGACTTCAGGGGCTGAAAGAAGGGGGTCTTCCAGGTACTGCCTGGGATGGAGCAGAAACAGACTGTTGCAATAAGGGAAGAGTGAGGATTCCCTCCGGTACGCAGAGTGAAACAGTGTCAGTGTGTGTATGGGGGACAGAGAAGGGAGGCCACCGGTAACCCTGGGGTGAGCTGCTGTGATCAACAGATCCTGATATGAAAACACTGAATTTCCCCCGGAGCTGCCAGGGCCTCTCCCTGGATGGAAATGCTCCTTGCTCCTCTCCTGCCCCACCACGCCACTTCCTCCTGTCTTCCCCAGGCTGCCAGGCAGCTCCCTGCAGTTCAGAGGCTCTGTGGGGCTATTACCTGTGGCTCTGAGCTGTCTTTTTGTTGGCCTACATCAAACACCTGTCTCTCTCCAGCAGGCGGGCTGGAAGGCTAGCATGTGTTCACCAAGGGGTGAGGTCATCATTCAGGAGTCCTGCTTCTTAAAGGGGTTTTGCAAAACCTTGGGTATCCTGGGAGGGCATGGAAGAGGCAGAGAACTGGCATTAAAGAAGTGTGAGGGGGGGGGGGAGAAATGGGAATCTTGTTTTTTGGCTTATTGAAGCTGTGTTGTCGTTGGCAGAAGGGTCTCTGCACCTCCCTCTCTTGAGGAAGAAGGCAAAAATCAGCTCAGTATCTCCCCCCACAACCTCCCCTTCCATTTGCCTAGAGACTGGTAACCATCTGAAAACAGCGAGAAAGGGAGAGCTAGCAGAGTGGGTGGAGGGAGAAGTAGCGGTAAACAGCTGCTTCTCTCTGCCCTACAGTTAGTTACCCCTGAACCCAGGGAATCCACACAGGCATCCCCCACTCCATCCCTGGGTCTTTCAGTTATAGTTGGGTCCTTGCTGGGCAGAAGGAAGCACCTCTCTGGTGAGTGGCATCTCCAACCTACTCCTTCCTGCCTGAGCTGGCCATGGATATACCCTGCGAAGTCCCAGTTCCCGCCCTGCCGGTCTTCCTAGCCTGGACATTCATGAGCATGTCTCACAAGTGCTTGGTTTTCCTAAAGCAGGGAACTGGCCCAAGCTAATTTCTAAATGTCTGTTCCAGACCCTTCTCCAACCAGGACCCTGTGGTTCAGTTTCTGGCAAATGCGCAGCAACACTGGTTAACAAGTGTTCATTCGGACAGCCTGCCTTTCCCAGGGCGCTGGCTGGGAAACACCACCACCCTTCTTGTGAGCGAATCTCCCCCCCTTTTGTCTATAAAAACAATCTATAAAATGGTAAAGATTAGGCCATAAAACTTCCGTTCCAATCCATTCAGCATCAATAGCCTGAAAAAGTGGGAGCAGCAGAGGGGCCAAGATTAACTTTGAAATAAATAAATCTTAGGAGGTGAGAACACATTTTTTGGGTAAGTGTGGTGGAGAAGGGATAGGGTGCCGCCATCATAGCTACAGCCTCCCAGCATCCTTCACTCTATGTTCTACGGGGTCCTGGTCACACTCTAGGCCCTGGCCTGGAATTCACCAGGTTTGGCTGAAGGATGGGGCTTCAGGCCCCTTCCTCAGTTGCTCTAAGCATGGAATTTATGACAAAGCAGAACAGAGGCAGGACAGAAGGGCAGGAAGGTAGAAGGAGGCAGTTGTCTAATTTTCTAAGAAAATGGATTTGTTTGAGTGAGAAACTCAAATGTCAGGCTTAGGAAGGCGGCTGTGGATTGAATGACTAGTAGTGTCTCAGGCAGAACTGTCAGCCTGGGAGGTGTCACATAATTGCTGTGGCTTCACATCATCACTCTGGAGGGGGCTGGTCATGGGAATTATCTTGGTTGGGGGAGGCAGGGGAAAAAGTTTCGAAAGATTGCTTTCAGTACAAAGGCTGCCAAAGGGAAATTCTAAAATGATGCCAGTGAAGTCACCAACCTGTGTCTTGGAGCCAATGTGAGGCCTGTTTCTTAAAACAGCTCCACTGAGGGAGATTCTGAGACTGGGAGAAGGGAGGGGCCTGGGGCTTCGGGACACCTGGGCAGCCTGATTCTGCACCAGCAGTAGCACCTGACCCTGAGCCTGCTGGCTCCTGGCTTGGCCCCACCTAGGATGTAGGGAGTCACCTAATGGGCCAAACCCAGATGGGCTCCCATTCACTCCTTGCTCTAGCTTGGAGGAGGCCAGGCCAAGTTGGGGTTCAGACTTTGGGGGGCAGCTGGGTCCTCTGGTGACCTCTGACCCTTTGGTAGAAGGTGGTAGCATGTTGGTGGCTCCTCTGTACTTTCCTAAGTGGTAAAGTTAATCTCACTTCCTCTTTCACAAAAAGAGAAGGTGTGTGTGTGTGTGGGGGGGCTTTGGCCCTGATAAACTCAGGCTATTGGACGGTCCTTAAAGCCATGTGTTCTCTAGGTACTTTCTGGCCATTAATAATTCCTTTGCCAACCCCATGGAAACTCAGGGTGTGATTCATTCTTCAACTTGCAGTCACTCAGCGCGTATGAAGTCCCGATGTGAACCGCGTGTTGAGAGAAGCGAGGAGACCCAATGTTCTTTGACTGTTAACTGTATTCCCGGCTGTGTGCTGACCGCCTGTCTGCGTAATCTCATCGATTAGCCAGGCAAAGCTTGAGTTAGCTATTATCCTCATTTTGCAGAGGAGGAAAACAGAGTCCAAAACTGGAGAAGTAACTTGTCCAAGAAGTAAGTGGTAGGGAGCCTGGATTTTAAACCCTAGCCTCCTGGCTGGGTAGCCTCTGAGGGAAGAAGTCCACTGACGTAATCAGGATTACTGAGTCCAAGCTGGAGGGCGTGAGACGAGCCCCCTCCAGGCGTAGATGGAGGTTTCTAGAAAGGTTCCTTCTGGGATAGAAGATTTTAACTGAGTCACAGTCATTTCTCTGAAAATACACTGAGGATGGAAACACTGCCAGCCCCTTGGCCCTCACGAATGACAACTCATGGGAGCGATGTGGCTCCTGTCAGAGGCCCCCCATCTGGGCTGCCGAGCTCTGGAGCCCCCAGAGCTGGAATATTCCTCCTTGCATCTATCTTCCTGGTGCCCTTTGCGACAGATGGAGAGGGGGTGTGTGAGAGGAAGGCAGTCTAAAACTGTTGTACAGATCCCACACTCACTCGCTCGCGGCTTCCAATGGCTCCGTGCGACAGGTTATTTTTTTATTTGTAGTCTTGGACTGACGGAAGGTTCCCCCACCCTCCCCCCTCTTTTTAAGTGTGCTCAGATTTTTGGCCTGTCAACACAACTCAGATCATGTCACTCCCCTGCTCAAAACTGGTGAGTGGGTCCAAATTTTCTTTAAAAAAAAAGAAACAAATGCACCAGGGCCTGAGGTTCCTCCCATGACAGGACTTATTTCTCAGCCACATGTTTTCCAAAGAGCTGACCGACTGAAATGCTGCAAGATAACCAGGCTTCCTCCATGCTGGCCAAAACTTTCCAGCTACTCAAGCACCTTAGCACCTAAAAGACCCTGAGAAGTCCCGCAGTTGTAGAATCTCCCGTCAGACCCTATTTACTCCAGTGTTCCCCAAACATATGACGAAGATGCATTTGGTTTGTATAACACCCATTACCGTGCAGCCTAACCCAGTTTGGTGAACGCTTTTGTACAAACCCATGCCCTTAGCTAAACTCTCTCATGCCTGTGCCTTCGCTTATGCTGTTCCTGCCATCAGAGAGGCCCTTCCCCGCATCCCCTTATCTCCATATGCCCAAATCCTACTCATCCTTCATGCTCCAAAGGGCCTCTTCCTGCTCTGAACGCTCCCCCAGGATTTTATCTGATCCTGCCTGAGGCGACATATTGCTTTCCCCTTGTCTTATCACCACAGGTTTGCATGTTTAACGCTAGCACCTGGTTGGCATGGTATTCCTGCGACATAGTGGTCATTTAGCCTCTCCATGTAGAGACACAGCATAGCCCAGGGAGCTGCAGGCTTGGGAGCCAGACCCCTGAGGGTGAGTCCCAGCTCCACTATCTACTTGGATAAATTACTGAGCTCTGCATCTCAGTTTCCTCATCTATAAAACAGATGACATCAACAACTCTGTTCGGAGGATTGGTCGATGACTGCATGTATGATGCTGGAGGCCGTGCCTGGCACATAGTGAGTGCTCAGTACATATCAGTCAGTGTTGTCATCATTGGTTTTGTTGTGCTTGGATTTTCCTCATCTACAAAAGCGGGACTGACTCTCATAATACACCTAGCACAGCTCCTTGCTCAGAGTGGGAACTCACAGGACAGCCAAGCCGATAGGGAAGTGAATGTCTTCAGTCTGAGGTTTTTCCCTGTAGCTTGTATGCCGGCGGGAGGTGGACAAGCTGAGCAGGAACCCAGACTGTGTGATTTAATTGTCTGCTAGTGCAACTGAGCGCCGTGGGCACAGCCTGCCTCTAGGTGTCTCTGTCCTGATCCACGGGTCTGGAATTGTGCCTTCCCAGATATGGGAAGCCGGAGGGGGCCTGAGAGAGCCGTCAGTCCTCTCATCCAGTGCGTCACTGAGAATGCTGATGCCCGGAGATAGGAGGGAACTGGTGGGTTCGCACAGCAGATCTGTGGCAAGGCATGGGTTGGGCGCCAAGTC